TAGGCCAGGCACCGTCCGCCAAAACTTCACACCGCTCGCGCCGCAGCTGATGCAGTTGCGGGGAGGGCGCCCGAGCTATTCAGATTCACCGAGGAGAGGGAGCAGCATGCGCGTAGGTTGGACCATGAAATGGCTCTCGGTTGGGCGGGGCTTGCCCGCCTCCACAATCCCAATGCGAAGTGCGGCCTCAGCTTGAAGTTGCACACGGCCCCCGAAAACGCGCGAACACGGAGGCCCCTTGAGGACCAACGGAGCGGTCATGTTGCAAGTATCGACGGCAATAAGACTAGCTGCAGTAGGTGTGCGCTGTATTATAATAGGCATAACCCTAGGAGCTTGCTTCCCCAAAAACGTGTTCGACGCGCACCCATCCCACGCTCCAACATTTGCATAGTCAAGGGGGTTGCCTGTTGTGGCCAGTGCGGTGGGTGGTCTTCCTCAGGAGCCACTATGACGCTTAGAAGACAGCGCCAGGCCCCCACCAGCATGGGGACCATAGCACCCAAGAGACTGTTCCAGGGCCTGGAGCCCACAGGACTCCTTGAATGGCCCGCGTGGCAACTTGCAAATTACGAAGGCCTTGCGGCCGGCGCCGCCGACCCTGAAGGGGGACAACGACGACAACGGCGGCGGTGGCGACGACGACGCTGACGTGGGCCAAAGGGATGCTTCTTGGGATCTCTTCGGATGGCTCTCGGGGGCCTGTGGGGACGAATTTTGGGGCCTCTTGGGAGCCTCTTGGGGGCTTGTGGGCCTTCTGGGGCCTCTTGGAAACTCTTCGGGCAACCTGGATGCGTCTCGGGGCGGGCCGAGGGGTCGACAGGTCTGTTCGGGTCCCTCGTCTGGGCACGGTCTTGGGGCCGTCTTAGGGGGCTTTCTGGGCCGCCGCGGGGCTGCTCGGTTGTTCAATCGCTTTGCTCATTCGGCCGGCCCATATTGTAGCATCGCTGGCACTTGCTTGCGGGCTTGGGGGGGCATTTGGGGGGCCTCCTGGGGCCGCTTGGCGGCCTCTTGGGGGCCTCCTGAGGGCCTCGTGGGGACATCTTAGGGCCTCTCGGGGGCCTCTTGGGGCCTCTTGGGAGCCTTAAGGGGGGCCTCTTGGGCGCTCCTGGGGGCCTCTCGGGGCCGAGGGCTCAAAATTTCCGTGCGGGTCTCCTGGCTGGACCCCCTCTTGGAGCCGTCTTGGAGGCCTCTTGGGTTGTCTTGGAGGCCTCTTGGGTCGTCTTGGGGCCCTCTGGGGAGGTGTTTGGGCCATCTTGGGGGCCTCTTGGGCCGCCTTGGGGCGATCTTTGGGGCCTCTTGGGCCGCTTGTGACGCTGTGAAAGCTCTCAAGTGGCGAATCTGCTAAACATATACGTTTTGCTTACAGAATGGACGATTTTTGCCTCTCGGGGCCCTCTTGGAACGTCTCTTGAGGGCCTCTTGGGGCGTCTGGGAGCCATCTTGAGCGTCTGAAAGCGAGCGTGCGGCATCTCGGAGCACTCTTGAACCATCTTGGGGGGCTCTTGGCGGCCTCGCGGCCCTTCTTGGGGCTCTCTGGAGGGCCTCGAGGGCGCCGCCCAGGAGGAACACCATCTCTGAGTCGGACCGCCCGGGACCTGCCAAGGACGGAGGAGAAAGGGTGAGGGAAGACAAACACTCCTGTACACTCGCGCTGAAATCGTACCCCCCACACATGTCTTCACATTGCGCTGGTTCTTCTCTATCCACGGACGCGTGTCATAGGCCATAGCAGACCTGACATTCCCGAAAATGAAACGGTTGTGGATGAGCAGGTGGGTGAGCAGGAGGAAAAAGAGGACGCTGAGGATAGAGGGGGAGACGAACAGCAGCAGTGGGAACCGGATTGGAGAGGGCAGAAAGATCAGGAGGACCAGGGGAAGGCGGAGGAGGGGAAGGGCGGGTAGCGACAACTAGGGTTCGGATCCACAAAAAGGTCCCAGCAGTCCCTTCCCATTGCGCGTTTTTATGTCCGCCAACGGGTGCCATGGCGGACTTGGAACTGGGAACCCCCGAAAGGACCCCGTATTGTTCCGCGCAATCTGAAAAGGCGAGCTGTGTACATCGGAAGAGACGGTGGCGGATGAGCAGGACGACGGATGAGCAGGGGGCAAAGGAGGAGGATGAGGAAGGAGGAGGAGGACGAGGAGGAACCGCAGGAGGAGGAGGAAGAGTGGGCGGAGCAGGAGGGCTAAGGGGGGCCGGGGGAAAAAGCAGGGGAGTGGACAAAAACAAGGGGGCGGCACCGGCGATCGACTAGACGTAGGAATGACCTTTCTCGCCGGAGTGCGGGCACAGATGGGCCCTCGGATGGCCGACAGCGGGGCGGCGGCAGCGGCCTGCGCGCCCAGGCTTGGTCTCCGCGCGGCCCCCCCAAGAAGCCGCGCACCAGAGGTCACTCTTACCCAGGGTCACTCTGGCGTGTGGCCGAGACGAGGAACCACTCGGATCCAGGGGGCGAAGGCGCAATTCTGAACGACCAGAGCCATGCGCCGATCCTGAAGTGAGGCCAACGCTGCAGCGGGGGCACCATTTTCAAGCACCGAGTACGCTCCGATCGAAAACACCATATGAACGACCAATCATTAACATCCAGAGTAACAAGAACAGTACATGCAGGGGGCGCGTCAGGGTGGCTCTTGTGTCGAAGCGACATCTAAGAACGGTACGGCGACAGATCAATGCAGAGCCGCCTGGGCTGGATTCTTCGTGCCATCATCAGCTACACGCCGGGGATTTCGCGTGAAAGAGATGCGGCCCGTGGTAGCGAGTGTCGTCGCTGGTCAGCGGGGTGTGAGATAGTACTTTGGAGCCCATGTTTCACGCTGGCAATCAACACGTATGCTATGTGATCTCAGGAGTCAGCAGGACCCCAAGGGATGGGTTCATTTCAGACAATTCTGTCAGGTATACAATCATTTTTTGAAGCGCTGATCTCTAGGGGTCAGCATAATTTGACGGGTGGACGTCATACTGTGAAGGCCATACAGCTGGTGCCGCTGACCCCGAAGGACGACGACGACCACGACGACGACCACGACATCTGATTACACTGCCACAGGCTCGGGACATGGGGCGGCGGCGGATGGAGGAGGACGAGGAGCAGCAGGTGGAGCAGGAGGAGGAGGAGGAGGAGGAGGAGGAGGAGGAGGAGGAGGGAGCGGAGGACGAGGCGGAGGAAGACTATGATGATGATGATGATGAGGAGGAGGAGGAGGAGGAGGAGGAGGAGGCGGATGTGGAGGGGGGCGGAGGAGGAGGAGGAGGAAGAGGAAAAGGAGGAGGAGGAGGAGGAGAAAGAGGAGGAGGAGGAGGACGAGGAAAAGGGGGAGGAGGAGGAGAAGGAGGAGGAGAAAAAGGTGGAGGAGGAGGAGGAGGAGAAGGAGGAGGAGGAGGAGGCGGAGGAGGTGGAGGGAAACCGTCTGTCTCCTCGGGAGCTGGCACGGGCCGGGGCTGGTGCCCGGGCCGGGGCCTGGGCCAGGGCTGGGGCCCGGGTCGGGGCCCGGGCGGGTGCCAGGACCCGGCCTCGGGAGTGCGGGGCAATGATTTGTTAATGTGGTCGCTGCCCTGGGAGCGCGGGCATAGCGTCTTCCACAAGGGATCTTGGCTCCAGAAGCGCGGACTCAGAGCTTCTGTTTAGGGGGGACCGTGGTCTTCGGAGAACGGAACAGTATTTGTGGTTCAGCTTCAGGTTAGTCTTGAAGCATGGAAGGGGTCGTGGCCTCGGAAGGTCGGGGCACTGGCCACGGCCGGGGCCGGGGCTGGGGCCGAGGCGGGTGGAGGGATCTTAAGCCCCATGCCGGCACGGAGATGCACCAGACTTTGAATGTGAAGGTACATCGACATTTCAAAACCATTCGGAAAACAAACGACCTGGTTCTGAGGACATGGTCAAAGTTGCTCGTGACACGTGGTGTGCGTGGGAAATACAGACAACCCGGGAAGATAAATTCCAAACGATATTTGAAGGCAGGCGCACTGGTGAAATCAGCGCCCGAAGAACGTGTCTGTCTCCAAGCCGACGCTTGGGAACGATATTTAGCAATGTCTACAGTGTTCGACGTGCTTGAAGTTTGGAAGAATGGTGACAAGTTTATCCTGCTGAAAAACACAAGCCATGACTCGAATGGCATTTGCGTATGCGGCCAGGTGGCAAAGCAGCAACCAGCGGTGCAATTCCGCATTATCGGGCGCACAGAGTGAAGTAGCAACGTCTTGTATGACATCGCATACAAAAGCAAGCACCGTGGGTTCTTCTCTCGAGCTGGCCTCTTCAGAAGAGTAGGTAAATGGCGAATCACACCGCGTTGTTTTCTTTCTCCTTCTCTCTCTTCCTTCTCCCTCTTTCCCCCTCTTTCTCTCTCGCGCTCTCTCTCTCTCTCTGTCCCTCGTGCGCTCGCTCGCTCACCCCACTCCATCACATGATGCCTCCATGCGTTTTTTACGAGCGTTGTGGAGCCAACGTGCTTCCGGCCTTCCGGCGCCACCGCCCTGCTCCCATAGGCTCGTCCTCCGGGACGATCGTCGGCGTCTTGTCCTGTCTTGGCGTATTTCAGTCTGAGTGCGGCCGGGAGGATAGAGAGTGGAGGGGAACGTGGACATGCGCTGTCTTGTTTTTTCCCTTTCGCGGTCCCCAGAAGTCCCCACCCTTCCCTCAGGTGCCGTTTTTTGACGGACCCGGGGCTTGGCGGGGG